AGCTCTGTTCCAAAGCCTTGAAAGTCCTTGCGCAATGAATTATCTTTGGCAGCCATTCTTCACAAAGGACTCATTTCCACCTGAGCTAGGGTGCCAAAATGGGATCCTGCGGAAGGAACGGCTCAGGGCGCGGAAGCTTCCGTGGAGCGGATAGTTTTTTTTTGTGCCGCGGATGCCCGCGGAAGCGTTGATCTCTTTTGGCATGCTCGGTCGAACCTTTCTTTGCCATTTCCTGCAGGCTGTCCTGAGGCAAATAAATAGTTTAAGAAACCCCTCCCCTTTGCACAACCGCGGCTCAGGAATCGAACCCTTCAATATTCTGAATAAAAGCCATGGCCGCACTAGCCTGACTGACTCTGCCTTTTGTTCCGGGGGGAGGGGGAGGGACTGGAAGCAATTTGTTCTGCACAAACAAAACGCGTTTGGCAAATGCAATTGCTTGAGCTCAAATGCCTTCAGGCAAAGCGATTGCCATTTGCTGAGCCAAAACAAATGGCCCCGGCACAGCGTGCAAAAGAGCGATTTGTTTGGCTCAAACAACTAGAGCTTCTGTTTTCCCGGAGGAGCGGATAATTAGGAAGGAACCTTTCCTTTGGGCGACGGCGGCGGGAGGAGGAATGAAAACCCTTGCATTTTCGCACTCCCACGCGATCAAAAAACCAGCCTGACTCACTATCACTCTTTGTTCTTGGAGGAAGGGCAAGCCTCGGCACCATATGCCAAAGAGCAGTTTGTTTGGCTCAAACAAATCGCTTTTGGGCACGCCCCCTCTTTTGTCAACGCAAGAGAAATGCGATTTGTTGAGCTCAAACAACCAGAGCTTTTGGTTTGCCCGGAGGGGTGGATGATTAGAAAGAAAGCTTTCCTTTGGGCAACGGCGGCGGGAGGAATTCAACCCTTTTCTGTTTGCACTGCTACGAGATCAAGGCCATGCCCAGGCACCAGCCTGACTCACTATGGCCCTTTGTTCTGGGGGGAAGGGGGGGACGAACTTTACAAGCTGCTTGTTTGCCGCGGGGGATTCAAGCAATTTGACCTGCGCAAACGCTTTTGGCAAATGCAATTGTTTGAAGGCAAAGCGATTGCCATTTGTTGAGCCAAAGCAAATGGCCCGGCAATTTGTTTGGCTCAAACAAACCGTTTTTGGATACGGCCCCTTTGGCGCCGCCTTGAAGGCAAAGCCATTGCGATTTGTTGAGCTGAAACAAAATGGCCCCCGCACCGTGCACAAGACAGCACTTTGTTTGGCTCAAACAAATCGCTTTTGGATACGGCCCCCTTCTGTTGTCAAGGCAAAGTAAATGCGATTTGTTGAGCTCAAACAAAAACCGTTTGTTTGGGTGCCTTGCTGGGTTGCACTAAACAGAGCAGGATGCGGGCTCGTTCGTTGTTTGGCTGACCCTGGACATAGTTTTCATTCACACGCGCATTTGCGGTGTTGCTCTGGCAAGCTGAGCAGTTCTTGTTGTTGATCGACCGAAGCCCGATGTTTGGCCCCCGCGGAAGCCCGCAGAAGCTAGACGTGTGCGCGGAAGCAAAAACCCACACCGCGGAAGCTTGTGGAAGCTGCGCGGCTTGCGGGCCCCTCTTGTGACCTTTTGTCCTTTCAATTTTCGTCACCGCTCACCTGGCTAGGGGATAACTTCTTGAAAAAACTATCAAGATAAATGCTTTCCCGGCCTGGACTTTTATCAGCTAGGAAACATCAAAAGCCAACGCGTTTGGGAAACAGAGCGCCCGAGCTGTGGCAAAACGCCACCCGCCCTAATTGGCCGTCCAGCCTAATCCAAATTCCAGGGCTTCGCCTACCTTGGCCCCACCTTCGTTGGTTTTAGAGTTCGGCGCAGCCCGTTTGGCCGAGGTGTGTGGCATAAGGGCACTGAAAGGATTATTGGTTTGCCTAGTTTTTTGGCAACCCCTAAAACGGTGGTTTTCTTGTTGGTTTCCCTTCGATTGCAGAATTCAAGGACAGGATAACCCCACATGCCAAGCTTTAGTGGTAAGATGGGCTTGGCCGAGCGACGCAAAAGCAAACAACAGAACAGTTAGGCAAGGGACTGCTTTGAAGTGTGTGAGCGAGCATGGGGCCTACAAGACGGCTTAGCCAGCAGCCCAGCCCCCAATTGCAGAATAGACAGTCTCAGCGCACGAGAAGGTAACCCAAGCGAAAAGGGGAACTCCCGAGCACAAAGTGGTCTTGAGCCAAAATGCCCAGAAGTCTCTCATGCCACTTGGCCCCATGACAACCGAGTATGAAAGCGTAAGCACTGTCAACTCTGGCATCGCCGCCCGTTGTGCGCAGGCGATTTGCGCATTGCTGTCTCCCGCCACGAATTTATTGCACAGCGAGCGTCACCGCCCAACGTACACTTATGACACCCTGCGCGCCCGCTGCGAAGTGTGTTCACGGCCTTTAACGCCCCTGCTTGGGACGATCGAGGCCATACGGGATTTTCACGGCTTCACGGCCGTACGGCCTCCGACCTTGATAATTGCGGCCAAACAGTTGTCAAGGTTGAGAAATTCAAGACGAAGGCCACTGCAGAGGCGATGGTCAAAGTGCGCTCTTTGTTGCTGGAAGGAGTGCTGCCTACTGGCGCAGGTGATCTGGCTGCGCTTTGCGACGAGGTCGCGCGGTGGGTGCTGGTGCTGCTGGGGCCAGAGGCCACACGGCGGTGGCGCCTTACTCCGGACCGGGCAATTGATCTGCTACCTGCTTCGCATCATCACGCTGTGTGCTTGAACTGCCACTGCTTCGCTGTGAACGGCACATGTCTCCACTCTTACGCGGCGATGATGGACGCAGGGATCATCGGTCAGCAGGTTCCATGGTCGGAGCCGCACAGGGCTGGCCGCGGGAAGAAGAGGTCGGCCAGCTGCAGCGTGGTCCCGAGCCAAACGAAAGCCCGGCCCGAGTCCACTGCAACTTCTGGTAAGCTGAGCACTCTTGCGGCTGCAGCAGAGGACTTTGTGCAGCAGTGTGCAGTCAATATGCGAATCTGTCTGTTTAAGTTTGTCGTTGCCAGTTCCATGATTGGACGCCTCCCCGGCAAGTCCAGCGCAGTCAACGTGTTTCAGTCCGTCAAGGGTGTCTAACATTGGCGTGCGGCCACCGGGGCAAACACTATTGTTGTGTTTTTTATTTTCAAATGACCGAGCCCGTGTGGTCAAGCGAGGACCCTAATCATCGCGCGCTGCGGCGCCTGCTGGAGAAGCATGGCCTGATGGCCTTTTTGAGTGCTTTCGTTGACAACGAGCTTTGGCCTAGCGAGCTCCGCGAGTGGCACCTCGGGGACTTGCATGGCATCCTGAAAACTGCCCCAGCTGCTAAGCTGCGTCAGCTTTTGCAAGACGTGCAAACTGTGCAAGCTGGCCAGGCGCGGTCTCAGAGTGCACTTCCACACACTTTTGCGTATTTTGGGCGAAGGGCCTCAGATGCCTGTTGTGATTTTGCGCGCGCGCAGGCCACTTCTAGGTCTGCGGGGGCGGCGGCTAGCGCAGCAGAGGCTTGCGCAGGGGCGGCGGAGGAAGGGCATGAATCGGAAGGGGCGCCTACTCGCTCTCAGGCAGACGTCGATCTAGCTGCCTGTCGCAAGGCCCCCTTTTCTTTCGGGCAAGTAGGGTAGTGCTGGACCTTGTTACTGCGTAGGGCTGCCACCCCTCTTTGAACTGTCAGGTAAGTTGGATGCTTTGTTTCGTGTGTTTGCAGTGTTCCCACAATGGATGCCGTATCTGATGTGTTGGCATTGGCCTGAAGATGGATGCCTTATTCCCAAGCAGCACTCCCTGCAAACGGTGCCAGCTCGAGTTTTTTAGGCTTCTCAGATATCTTGAAAACTATCAAGCGAGGTCCAACATTAAAACGTGTCTCAGGCCTATTCAGTCTGGTTGAGCTGTCGATGCTCAGGCACCTGTGGAGCGTTCCGATGCGGCAGTGGAGCACTCACCTTGGAGGGGCATGGGGCAGAAAGAGCGTTTGCAAGCTCTGCGGCAAGCGTATGGTCGATGACAAGGCCAGGAGCGCACCTTTTGCAAAGCAAGGCAAAGACGTGCCGCAACAGGTTCCATGTGTTCAGTTGGATCGAAGTTCTCAATGGCTTGCACGAGTGTCAAAAGCCGTGGCGCTTGCCAGCAGTGTGCTTGATGTGATGTGAGCTATTTTTTCCATGACAAGATGCTGTAGCTGAGCAGAATAGGAAATGGCGAGCTGCATCCTTGCTCGTCGCGTGACCTTTCGGGTTTAGGGGGAATAGAAGAGCTCAACCACATTTCTGCGTGCTCTGCTAGCCTCGTGCACACGGAGCAAGCAGAAATGCATGGAATACTCACAATTACGGGGGGCCATTTACCTGGTGGGACACGGGGGAAGAGAAGAATTCAACAACATTTCTGCCTGCTCTGCTAGCCTCGTGCACACGGAGCAAGCAGAAATGCATGGAATACTAAAAATTAAGGGGGGCCATTTACCTGGTGGGACACGGGGGAATAGAAGAGCTCAACCACATTTCGTGAGCATTTGCTGCCCGAAGATTACTGCGGCCATGGCTGGGCCGCCACGTGAGCTGGTGCTAGCCCAGGCAGCCATGGCATTGGCCCTGGTCATTTTGCTGCGGCTGTCAGGCCTTCCCTACGAACCGGACAGGCTGCTGCGGCCGTGGTTCGGGGTGGCGCTGCGTTGCTGTGAGAACTTTTTGCGACAGATTTGCGCTGTGCTCAATGGGCGCTGCAGGGACCAGATACGTTTCGACTGCAGCGCTTTGGCTACGTGTGCGGGCACTTTGTGGAACCACTGGAGTGGCGCACACGCGCGAGTGTTGGCAGCCGGTCAGATGCCTTCTGCGCTTCGCTCCGCAATGCTATCCTGTAGCTTCTGCGTGCTGGGCCTGCCGTGGGCACGAATTCAGGCTGGCGAGTGCGTAGGGACTGGTGTTTTGTGGATCATGACGAAGACACTCATCGTGTTCGCAGTCGTAGGCTAGCACGGTTTTGAACATGCGTGGGTTAGCCGGCGCTCGCTGGTCTTTTCAAGCTTGGACATGTTAACGCAGGCACTGGTTGGTGGTCCTGGAGAAGCTCATCCTGGTGCGTGCGCAATCATCGACGTAGAGGCGCGTCCAGGGTCGCTTGCAGCGCGCCCTAACTAACAGTGTGTCTGCAATTTCACTGGCAGGCAACATGCAATGCCGGCGTGGTGGTGACGGTGCAGGACTGTCTTGTTTATTGTGAGCAGCCCCAATGCGTCGCTCTATGTCAAAACGCAGTCTTAAAAACGATGTGCCAGACATGCTTGGGACACTAAGACAGAGGACTCAAAGAATGAACGGGGTTCCTCAAGCATAAAACAGGCCATATCCCTGAGCAGGGTAGGGTCAAGCACGTTCAACCAAACCGCTTCCCACGAGACAGAGAGAGAGAGAGAGAAAAAAAAAAAGAGAGAGAGAGAGAGAGTTCGTTCTGATTTTCCATCGAGATTAACGATTGGAATCTAGTTCGACGATCGTATATGTTGTAGTGCTTGAGTTGGATGGCGTCCCTCATCCCCTGATTCCGGAAACTGTGGAAGCTTTGCAGCCATTTTTTGTCGGCAGTGCTTCTTATCACACAGAACGAGTCACTCTTCGCCATGGCTGCTTTCGATGATCAATCTGGCATCACGCCGGAAGCCATCCCGGATATTGCGGCGCTTTTCCGAAGCAAACCAGTCCTGTTTGGATTTGTCCGTGAAGGGGAGGCTGCGGGCTCTAGTGCCAGCAGCGCCAGTGCGGAAGAGTATGGACGCGGGCTGGGCATGAGCTTTCAGGCGTTAGGCACGTATGCCCCACAAGCTCCAGCGCCCGTCCGGGATTGGTGTCCCACACAGGATGAGGTGGATAGGTCTCTGGAGTCAACAAAGTCTGCTTTGAATAGACAGTTAGGCAACAAGGCGAAGCAGCCCTTGTATTGCGTGGACTGGAAGGCTGGAAAGCAGGCGCTGGTGTACAACTATGTCTGTCCAGAGCAGAAGCCGGCCGGTCTTGCAGGCGATGCCATTTTCGAATGGATAGAGTCCTCGTCCACTGAGTGGCGTGACGCGTCCTATGGCACAGCTGCAGTGTTCCCTTTGGAATCCTCCGAGCCGGGATGTTATCAAGATGGATCGGCCGCGGAGGATTCTGAAATTGTGCTGTATCATTCATCGCGGCCGGCCCTGCTGAACAAAATTTTGGAAGAGGGACTGGCGCCTTCCATTTACAGTCATGGCATATGCGGCGCTTGGACGTTTGCTCTCGCCCCGCTTATCGCTGGGGGTCGTGCATCCTGGAGCCCGTTGAGGGCATGGTCTTCACCGTCAAGCTGCCACGCAGAATGCTGACCGAGAAATCTCCTCGAACTCCTGCAGCAGACACGGTCAACACTGGCCTCGTCTCCAACCAGCGCATCCGTGGGGATGGAAGCGGTGGATATCTACGCTTTGTGGTGCCGGGGCAGTTCATGAATTCTGCGTTGCCCATCAGAATGACGTGTGTCCTTTCTGCTTCGGGATCCTAACGCCATGACATTCTCCGAGGGCCTCAGCTATGGAGTTCGGCTTTCTGCGTTGTGGGTTCTTGGTCACTCGGTGTGTGACGAGGGTGACCTGGCTTTGGAGCCGGGTCTGCAGCCGCAACGCAAGCCCCTACTGCAAGGCTTTGATGCGTTGATAAAGCAGAAGGAGGACAAAGAGCTCGCAGACTTGTTGGAGCATCTCGGAACGATTTGAGTATCCATGATTGTGGCAATCTCATATCAGGGCTGGTTGTGGCACTGTCTGGTTTGCTTATGTCCAGGACGGTAACATGATGTTTGTATTTTTTTCTTGGCGCATCTTCTATGTGATCCGGGCCAAAATGCCCTCCAAGAGCTCCTCTTGCGACAGCCTGTTTGGTCTATATGATGCAGACTGGCCGAACCCCAGATTTGCGTCTTTTAAGTGATTAATTCCTTATTTTTTTCTATATTACTGTCCTGTACTATAGTTTTCGTTTCGTTGCAAGGCACTTCATCTTTCTCATCAGAAGTCGTTTAGGTCCCTGCAGGCTGCGTGAGGAACTTCTGTGGTTCATTTTTTTCAGGTCATGCCGGCGAGGCGCTGATGAAGCTCTGTGGGCGCAGACGAAAGGGCACTCAAGCAAGGTAGTGCGGCAGCTTGTCTATCAAGTTAATCGTCGGCTGGTTTATTCCTCTGTTAGTGGCAAAAGCTGTGCTTTCTTGGATGACGATGAGCTGAAGGCTATGATTGCTGGTACTGATAAACATTTGAAGACGCTTGCGGAAGCGATGTATAGCATCATTTCGATGCCGGAGGACCAGTATAAGCTGGTATACAGACTGAGTGGCCACATTGCAGTACTCCTGTATCCGTTCCAGGCTTTTTCGGCGGTGAATGCTGCGGCAGCATTGGATTGGTGGAAGGATGTCCCCTGGGCAAAAGTCCCGGCTCCACTGGCAGTCTTTCTGAGCAAGTGGTATGGAGCCAGTGTGTGGAAGAACCTTCTTGCTGGAGAGCCATCGCACATGCAAGCGGTCACCTGGCGGCCTTCCTCAGGGTCTGTTTTTGAGAAACGCATGGACAGCCGCAGCAGCCGCACTGAAAATTGCCGCGTGCCAATAGAGGCGGCTGCCAGTTCGCTTGGCGCAGCAAGGCCTTCGAAAAGAAGCGCTGAGTCATCGTTTGCCTGGCCAACCTCGTGCTCAGCAGAGCTAGCGGGCGATGGCACGGACCACTCGGGACCAATGACTCATGTCCACATGCATGGTCGCAACCAAAGGCCCAAGTACCAGTCTTTGTGCTCTGCGTGCCTGGAGAACAAACGTTCTGCCGGGACAAAATTTGACGTCCATGACTGAAGGAGTTTTTGCCCGTTGGAAGCGCGAAAAAAGCGGATGACCCTGCCGTCAGCTTCGGCATGAAAGACATGCTCGACGTCGAATATTACCGCTAAGAGTAACAAAAATACAAAAGATATGGAATGCTAAAGAGCTCAGCCACATGTCTGCCTGCTCTGCTAGCCTCGTGCACACGGAGCAAGCAGAAATGCATGGAATACTAAAAATTAAGGGGGGCCATTTACCTAACGGAACACGGGGGAATAGAAGAGCTCAACCACATTTCTGCGTGCTCTGCTAGCCTCGTGCACACGGAGCAAGCAGAAATGCATGGAATACTAACAACTACGGGGGGCCATTTACCTGGTGGGACACGAGGGAAGAGAAGAATTCAACAACATTTCTGCCTGCTCTGCTAGCCTCGTGCACACGGAGCAAGCAGAAATGCATGGAATACTAAAAATTAAGGGGGGCCATTTACCTGGTGGGACACGGGGGAATAGAAGAGCTCAACCACATTTCTGCGTGCTCTGCTAGCCTCGTGCACACGGAGCAAGCAGAAATGCATGGAATACTAACAATTACGGGGGGAAACGAAGAGATAAGCGAAGAGAGAAAAGAGAAGAGAAAAGAAAGGGAAAAGAAGAGATGAGCGAAGACAGAAAAGAGAAGAGCAGAGAGAAGAGAAGAGAGAAGAGCAGAGTGAAAAGGGAAGAGCAGAGAAGAGAAGAGAAGAGAAGAGCGGAAAACAAGGAGAGAAGAGAGGAACACAAGGAGAGAAAAGAAGACAGAAGCAATCCACTCCTATAGTTGCTATATTTTTAGAAACTTCCGCGCACCGGCTTCGCCGGCTTTACTGGTAATATCCCATTCAACCGTGGAATCGAACTACTGGCTCAGTGCCTGGGTCCTGAAAACGGCCTCAGCCATGGTCGTCCAATGCCCCTGCACGAAGTGGCTGTGCTTCCTGCCAGGACATACTGGCTGAGTGGCGACAAGTGTCGCGCGCTGCCCTGCGCAACCTTTTGCGTGAGAGCTCATGAGACCCAGGCCACTGTCCTCGAGCATAACAGATGCATAACAGAGCCTGACCTTTGAGCGTGCCAGAAGCCTCAGCCCCAATCAAAAGTTTGGGGAAACCAATTGGGGAAGCTTTTGGGGAAAGACCCCCCCTAAATCCGGCATTGTGAATGGATTGGCCAAGCAGCTTGCAGAGCCTGACCTTTGAGCGTGCCAGAAGCCTCAGCCCCAATCAAAAGTTTTGGAGAACCTTTTGGGGAAGCTTTTGGGGAAAGACCCCCCCCTAAATCCGGCATTGTGAATGGATTGGCCAAGCAGCTTGCAGAGCCTGACCTTTGAGCGTGCCAGAAGCAAGGCCCTTTCCACCTCAGCCCCAATAAAAAGTTTTGGGGAAGCTTTTGGGGAAAGACCCCCCCCTAAATCCGGTATGTGACTTCATGGGTCCTTGTGTGGATGTTCGCTTGGTAAGGAAGCGCACCCTGCAGCTTCAGTCTTGCTCCGTCAAGAGGACAGTGCGTGCTGAAGATGCATCGCCGCGTCGTAGCTTTTTGCTGCTCAGGCAAACAGTGGCTCAGCGGCAATGCCTTGTCAAGAAACAGGCACCGCCAACATGGCCGTCGCCCTCGGGTGGCTGCTGGCCTTGCGCGCCCTGGTGGATGATGGCGCCGATGAGTCCGCCCTGCATCGGCGGGTCCGCCTGTTTGCCCCGCTGCATTTTGCCGATTTGTATCCGCATGAGTTGTGGGCGCTGCTGGAGAACCTCGTCTCCGATACGGACCGCGTCGTCGGCAATGGCATGCCGTGGCAAGATCTCGCTGGCTCTAGGGCGCAGCTGGGCGAGCTGTTTTGCGCGCGGTTTGCCGCGCGCGCTACAAACAAGTGCGCCAGAGCAGTGGGCGACACCATGGAGCAGGTGCAAAAGCTCTTAACGAAGCTTGCCCAAAGCCAGAACGATGCTCTCCTGTTTGCAGGTCGCCAAGATGATACGCTCATGTCTGAAGACGAGTTTCATGACGCGCTCCTGTCACAGTCTGAAGATGAAGGCAGCCACGACAGCCCCGTGTACTGAGTTGTCCAGATGACACAGATGAAGTCGGCCAAGACAGTGAGTCCA